CCCCCCCCCCCCCCCCCCCCCCCCGTCCCGAATAAAATATTCTTTATTCTTAATATTAAAAAGAGTGAGAATAGAAAGTTTTTCCTAAAAGAGGAGAAACATCTTAAAGACAGAAAGCAGCCTCACTCTCTTCCTGCTAAACAGTCTCAAGCAGAAGCCTGAAGAGGCGAGGGCTAGGCTTTAGGAAGGGATGTTTTATAGCCATTCAGAAAGCTGGACCATGGACCCATGATAGGAATCTGGCAGCAGCCATTATAATATTAAAGGACATATTCTTGCACAGAAACATGCATCTCAATCAGAAAGCCCAAGAATGTATAAAAGCCCACCTACTCTCAACCCTTTTTATCAGCAACCCCAGAAACATACTGCTGTAACTATGGTTTCTGGCTACCAAATAAATAGAGACCGCCTTTCCAAAATGCAGCCTGCGTCCAATTCATTTCTACAACGTCCTCCTGGTTTGGAACAGGACCAGATTTTTCTTTCAACAGCTCTTTAAAATCTTTCTTGTTCTGCTTATTAATAAAGTCAGTCTCTTCATTTGGCAGGCAGAATATCCATCTATGTAATATACGCTTTTCTGCATAAATTGTTGGCATCTTTGAAAAGGCATGTTTTGTTTTCTTGAAACTGCAAAATCATATAACAATGTTATTAAAGATGCAGCAATATCATAGGTCTGAATTTTATAAATATTTAAAGTCTTCACAACACTCACATCTGCTATATATTCTTGCCTTCTCTGAAATTTTTAGTATATCTCCCTGGGTTTTAAACATCTTGAATTTCCCGCAACGTTGCATTCAACAAAATAAAAAAATAGCTATTGTGAATAAAATATACAGTATAGATACGTACATAGTAGAGTGAAAATGCTGCAATGCTGATGCCAATTTTAAAAATGGGAATCAGTGTTCCTTTATATGTCAGGCAGTATGAGTTTCTAATTTTATAGGGAAATTAAAGAAAATTATAATACTTCCCATGTGTATTTAATGTCATTTCAGAAAAATCTTTGGGATACTATTAAAAGAAGAATTCCTGCACAGCAATCACGAAAAAGAGTGCCAGTCATTAAAAATATAAACAAAACATTTCAGATGTCTGAAAAAACGGAGAAAAATAGAAGCCCTCTTCAGTCCTGTGAGAATCTGGAAGTGAATTCAAACAGAATTTCACCTAATGGAAATTCCTTAATCATTTCAGAACATAACTTTTCTCTTTCCCCTATTAGTCCCATCAGTCAGAAAAACCAACATGTCATTTATACTCCCTTATCAACTACATATTCTGTTCCAGAAGTACCAGCATATCATAAGTTATTAAATAATGTAACAGAAACCCCTACTGTTACAACTCTATATGATAATGTTTTGGGGGAAAACAAAGTATGCCGACATAATAATATTAACTCAGCGGAAATAAATGCAAAATCAGTCGGTACGCCAGAACAATTGAATATATCTTTGAATTGTAGGAAGATTTTAAGTCCTGATTCTTTTATAAACAATAGTTATGAAGTGACAGAAGATGCAGCTATAGCAATGCCTATTCTTTCACCTGATCAGTTTTTAAGAGATAATCAAATGGTTATTCAGCCAATCTCAGAATGTAAAACAGTGTCCTTTTCTTCAGATATGAAATCATGTATGTCAACAGCAAAATGTTCAAAACAGAAAGAAAAGATGCAAGTTTCTTTTTTTATGGAACCTCAGCTTTCCACCAAAACTCCCAACAATATAAATGAAAGAAATCCTACAACACGTTGCTATGATAAGATTGAACAAAATGTCAAATACAAGGCAAGTGATCAAGCTTGTTGCCTTCAGAACAGAAAAAGGCCTTTGCTTTCTAGCACCGTTACCAAAACTAAGCCCAACCCTGAAGGAAAAGAAACAAAGATGTTAGATCTAAAATCTAAAAAAAGTCTTTCTAATGCAATAGAGCATTGCATGGACATTAGCCCTAAAAATGCAGACCTGGACACATTGCCAAGACTTCCAGTTATAGAAAGTGTTTCAAATGAAACTAAATGTATCAAAGATAAAGCCAGATTCATTTATTTGGAATCCTCTCATAATCGTAAAAGAAAAAGTGGAGAGTATTTAGAGGATGTTAAGAATGGAAGAGAAGAATATGCAGAAAATTTAGGAAGGAAAAGAACTCCGAAGTCCTGTGACGGAATTGGAAGCAAGAGTGCTTTGAAATTATCAGTTTCCAAATCTCAGAATGGAGATAAGCAAAAGAAGAGATGTGGTAATCAAAGTATAGAATAGTTTGCTTATATAAATTCTTGACCTTTTGCTTCAATTTCATGTTTAGCATGTTGGAAATTTTTTTTTCAGGTTCTGCATCACAGAAATCTAAAAAATTTAAAAGGACAAAAAAGGTTGTTCCTGTTGCACAGTCTCAACTGACTTTTGTGAAGCCTTTAAAAACAGGTAAACATAAATTCCTGGCATTTTGCACTTTGAAAGAAAGAAGATTTTTTAAAAATATATCATTTGAAATAATTTTGGTAATGTTTATCTAAAATACATTGCGTGAAATAGTAAAAATAGCAAAAGGTAGTAGAATTATATGGTTTGCATTCTTTTCATTTTTGTACCACAGCCGCCGATTGCCACTGCCTGGAACAGGATGAAAAGAGGGCTCCCGGAGGCAGAAAAGGGCCAAAGGGTGGCGGGGGGGGCAGCAGGTGGGCAGGGCTTCGGCAACATTCGCTGTATAAGATGCACAGACATTTCCACCCTTATTTTTGTGGGGGGAAGTGCGCCTTATAGTGCGAAAAATACGGTACATAGAAAACCCTTTCTGTGCTTCAACTTTAGGCCACCCCAGGGCTTCTGAGAAAAGCCAGGTTTTCATGGCTTTTGGAAGATGAAGAAGGGGGAGATTGTTCCATGTTACTGATGCTGGGGGTTTTTGGTGCTCATCCTCTGAATTCCATGAATGATATGGCAGAGATCAAAACATGTGTAGTTATTTAGGCCCATGAAGAGACAGAGTGAAGGCTGATTTGGAAGAGTGAAAGGTGAACTCCTAAAGATGCCATTTTCAATCCAAAATGGGTAATTCCTGCTTACAATAATATATATTCCTATGAGTGTAGACACAGTGTACAACCCGATGAGTTCCACATGTAGAACTATTGGTTGCATGCACAGATTGGACAAGAAAGCTTAGTATAATAAAAAAGGAAGAATTTAAACAATTCACCTCAAGCTTGAAAATCTTTGGAGAATAATGGAGAATTATGTGAAATTTTAAAACAATTGTTCCATTGCAGCTGTTCATCTGTTCCGTTATCTCATATTTTGAGGTACTGTACAAAACATTGGAAAAAGGCACTTCACAATCTTATTTAACATAAGCAAATCAACATTTATCAGTGTTAGAGCAGCCACCTGATTTGAAAGGCCTGGGCTGCTCCTTTGAAAGCTTGTCTCCGCTTTTTCTGCTTTACGTTTGATTGTAGCCAAAAGGCTGAGAAGCAACCTGTCCATGCAGACCTGCCTCACTTTATGGGCAGTTATAATTGTTTATGAAATCACATTCATATTTAAATAACCGGAAAAACCTTCAAAGCCGTCGCACTAAATAGAAGAGCCAGTTGCAGGGGAATAGTTTATGGCTTCAAGAAATGTCCGTTTCCAATCCTTTGCACAGCACTCCTAGTCTCCATTTGCAGTTAAAAATGGAGCTTTGATATATTTTCATTAGGTGATAAGGATTTCAGTGTTTCAGCAAAAACAATAACATAACTTTTAATTATTTTAAAAGATATTCCTAGGCACCCAATGCCCTTTGCAGCAAAGAATATGTTTTACGATGAGCAGTGGAAAGAAAAACAACAACGAGGTTTTACATGGTGGTTGAATTTTGTACTTACTCCTGATGATTTTACTCTGCAAACAGACGTTTCACAAGGTAAAATTGATCAATGGCATCTTAATATTTCAAGGATTAAGAGTAGCTACAAAGTCTAAGAACTGTTCAGCTGTGTGTCTGTTTGCATAAAAACCTTTCATTATAGTTCTTTCAGGCATCTGCACATTTATTACAATCAGCTAGAAATATAGTTGTGTCGGACTACTATTATCTGAAGTCAGCCTAGCAATCGGGTTAAAAAGTCTTTTCTTTTGATAGTCGGACTTGCTTAGGATTTGGTGTCATTTGTGCTCAGCAGGTTTTAGCCCTTTGGCCATCCTTCTAATGACAATTCAACGATTTTTAAGATGAGACCGTGCAAGTTTTAAATGCATACCACCGTTTTCTCTTTTATTAGTTAATACAGCAAGTCTCCTCCTGGGAGCAGAGACCTATAAAACCAGTGTTCCTAAAGCACCAACCAAAGAAGAAGCATCGCTAAGATCATATACAATTCGATGCAAATTAAACAAACTTCGTAGGTCAGCTTGCCGCTTGTTTACCTGTGATGAAATGGTGAAAGCAATAAAAAGGCTGGAGATTGAAATCGAAGCAAAACGTTTGCTGGTTCGAAAAGACAGGCATCTGTGGAAGGATATTGGTAAGAATACAGTTGTGTTTTAGAGCCAGCCCCGGACCATGGACCGGCACCCGTCCGTGGGACCCCAGCAACCAGGCTGCACAAGGAAGTGAAGCTCCATCCGCGGGATGCAGGGGAAACCTTTCTTCATGGAACCAGTCCCTGGTGTCCAAAGGTTTGGGGGGCAGGGTTGGCTTAAGAATATTGATGAATACATTGACCGTGCTTCTGCTACTAATGTGATCAATACCTTTCTGTAACATTATTCAGAAATGCTTTCACTATATAATTTCAGGAGAACGACAGAAAATCCTCAACTGGCTTTTATGTTACAATCCACTGTGGTTGCGCATAGGCCTAGAAGTGAGTTTGTACTTTGGAATGATCTTTCTGTAAACAATATGCTATTTTGTAAAGTCTAATGATTATTGTGTTACAAGGAACCATTCAAGATCAGGATAAGAGATTCTTTAATGCAAAACTCTTCTGCTTGAGAACATAACGCTTAATATGAATAGGTATCAGTGGCCAAAACTAGTGCAGTATTTTGTGGCTTATTAAGCTGATTTTCAGTCATGAGAACAGCTGCATTAACATAATAATATAGTATATTGTTTTCTTCCTTTCACAAACATTGTTCTGTTGCTTGCTAAAATATTCTGTGAAGATAAATAGTATAGCAATGCAGACTTGGTGAATGTGTTCAAGTACCATATTGTTGCAAAAATTTGAATGTCCTATTGCTACCATAGTTTTATTCATATTTTGAATTGTTTTCACCCTTTTATCTTCGTCAGACAATCTTTGGTGAACTGATTGCTTTGGAAAGTAACAGTGATATGATGGGTTTGGCAGTATTTATACTAAATCGATTGTTGTGGAACCCACAAATAGCCGCTGAATACCGACACCCAACTGTGCCTCACCTTTATCGAGATGGTAAAACGTTTCTTTGCTATTATACGGTAGCATTTCAGAATTGAGAGCAAGCTTGGTTTAGTGTTAAGGGCACCAAGCTAGAAACTGGAAGATTAAGAGTTTTAGTGCTTCCTTAGCCATGAAGCCAGCCTAAGAAGGAAATGGCAAACATTTCCAAAAATGTTTTTTTTTTTAAAATCCATGTACGAATCCAGATTGACTGACAAAATCAAAGGTAAAAAATATAGTTACAAGAAGCATCTCTATATAAAATATTGCATTTATAGGTCATGAAGAAGCATTGTCCAAATTTACACTGAAAAAACTTCTACTACTGGTTTGTTTCCTTGATCGTGCCAAAGTGTCTCGAATTATTGAACACGACCCTTGCTTATTCTTCAAAAATGCAGAATTTAAGGTATTCCCACTTAAGCTTGTCTTGAATAATGTTTGCCTATAATCTGTATGTATTTGTGTGTTTGAAAGACACAAGCCATGCTTATTTCTTTGGAATACATTTTTTTAAATAATAGATGTGAAGTACAAAAGTTTTTCAGGGCTGATTAGAATGGAATTATTACAAGTTTTTGATCTGCATAATATGTACCTGATAGTACTTATTGTAATTAATGTCCATAATATTAAAAACAAAGTATACAGTTAGCAGTAATATTTATATTGTAGTTCAGTGACTTAATTACATAGTCATTAATTACGTAGGATAATAAATTATTGTATATGTGTACTGATTTTTCACCTTTTTTTTTCTAGTCTAGTAAAGAAATATTACTAGCATTTTCCCGGGACTTTCTAAGTGGAGAAGGTGATCTTTCACGTCACCTTGGATTCCTGGGTTTCCCTGTCAATCACATACAGACTTCGCTCGATGAATTTGACTTTGCTGTTACAAATTTAGCTACAGACTTACAATGTGGCATTCGTCTTGTGTAAGTTTTTGTTGAATTTTGTCATTACAGTTATAAAATGTATATTGCATGAAGAAATTGATTACTTTTTAATATGAAATATTAATGTATTTAAGGAGAACTTTAGAACTGCTGTCATCGGATTGGACTCTTTCTGAAAGATTAAGAGTGCCCGCAATCAGCAGACTTCAGAAGATGCATAATGTTAAACTTGCTTTTGAGGCATTGAATAATCATGGAATTCAATTGAAAGATGAACATGGTAAGTACTAGAAAGTATTGTGGAGGTGGTCTCCCACAGGTCTGTTGGTTTTGCTTTTCATTAATCTGTTTCATTGGTTTATAGGTTCAACCATTGACACAAAGGATATTGTAGATCGACATAGAGAGAAAACATTTGCTTTGTTATGGAAAATAGTATTTGCTTTTCAGGTACTGCATGATTGTTTTAATTTATCTTTAGAGCATTCTCTGTCTTCAGAATTTCAGCAAACAATGGTCTGTGCGTGAAACTTACTTTGGTATTACTTCTGTTTCATGCATAAAGTCAGTGTGTAAAAGTAGATGTGCTGTACACAGACTAAATTTCAGAAAAAAATTAAAAATAGATGACAGCACCGATGAAGGTACCTTTATTTACATCTGGAGGGCTTTCATGAAAAAGCTGGCATACAAAATGGCAGCTATAGATATTAAGTTTTGAAACCTTTAAAATATACACAGAAATTATCAACAAAATTGATTGCTATCATTATTTAGACCTTAATTTTCAACATCATTTTTCAGCACTCTGTGCAACTTTTTAAAGCAGTCATGTCTTATGACCATATGGCAACTGAAAGATAGCTGCATAATTCCAAGAAAAAAAACACAGTTGCTTTAAAGCATTACAGGTAGAGTTTACGATAGTGCTCTTTGATATTTCGGAGCCTCTTTAGAATTGACAGCAAAGCACTGCAGAGTCCTAATTAGTTTAGATTAAGACATTTTTAGTCTCTCTGAATTATTAGAACTATGTGCAGGCTCTTTTCACAACCTGAATAAAAATCAACGTTTTTGAAAATGTGTAATATCGTACACTTTACCTGTTGCCATTTTAGTTTTGATAATTTGTCTTAGTAGTTTGTTAACAGTTGGTATGTTTTAACATCCTAAACATTACTCAGAATGATTTTTAAAATTCCATCAATAATGCTATCAGTTTAATTATTTCACTATATAAGGAATGTGTTATGAATAAAATTGTGGTTGGATCTTATTTAGGTGAATATTTCTCTTGACGTGGATCAGCTAAAAGCAGAAATTGCTTTCTTAAAAAACATGCAAATTGCAAAATTAAAAAGACCTGATTTGGAATGTGTTAACAGCATGGAAAATGACACCAGCAGGTCTTATTCATATGAAAGCTATGGAGAAAATGTAAAACTGCTGATGGACTGGGTGAATGTTGTCTGCAGATTTTACGATATTAAGGTAAATAATTATTTCCTTAAACAATTTCACAAAGCACACTGTTCTGAGTATGATAATTATTAAACTTAACCAAATGTAATAAAAATGAATTGAAATGTTCAGACCAGTGTATTTATGTTTTGATTATATATTTGTTATATGGATTATTACTGCTGTGAAAACAAAATATTAAAGTAAGAGTTGATTATGATAATAATTTATTTGTAATAGTATAGCATCTGCTACTGTCCGTCTCTTTTCGGTACGCTTCATTGGTGCTAAATGGCATGTGAATAGTTGCTTGCTGATGGGTGGTGATGATGATTTAAAGCGACCTATGGCACACAAAAAGGTATAAATATAATGGCCTGGCAGTATGATTGGGCTTAACATATAAAAGATAATACTATATGTTATTCAAAAATATATTCCGTATTGTTAGATTAAATCATTTGTTTGTAGATTACTTTGGTTAAGAGATTATGTGACACTGATTCTTTTTAAACACATTAAATTTTCTACTAGTTAATGTATATGCTCTTAAGGTAAGTTAATTATTTAACTTGATCTAAATTTTTAAATAGCCTTAAAATAATTCTCCTGTTTTAGTTCTAACAAGTTGTTAAAAAAACACTAAAGATAAATTGTGTGCTGAAATCTTTAAATAAGAAGAACTTAAATACAAACTTGATGCTTCAGTTTAGTTTAGCAACAGTGAAGAATGAGATCTGTCTAAATGTGTCCTTTCCTCCCTCTCCCCCCCCCCCAAAAAAAAACCCTCCACTGTATCATCTAGTTGTGGAATACTCTCTCTAATATTCTCTAGAAAAAGGATTTCCAAACCATTTGGCGTTACGTTTTTATTTTTATTTTTTGAAAATGCACAAATCTTCCTAGCCGTCATTTAAGACTACTCGCTTAACAACACGTTTTCTTTCTTAGTTAGAATTGAACAGACAATATTTGTGGAAGTAACATGAATTTGCCCTTCCTTCCTCCTTCCCATCAGCTGACTTAGCCACCAGCTTTCTGCCACAATGTACTATTCAAAGAGCCTTGCTTCTTTCTTTCCTATCAGCCTGCTTGTCTCCCAATCCTAAAGTGCCTGGGAAAAAACCATTTTAGGCTAGTACGTAAGAAAAGGCAGATTTCTGTATCTTTTTTTTTACAAAAAATAAAAGATCTTTGCAAAAGAAATATCCAGAGGAGTACGTGCCAAGGAAGCTATTTATCTCAGAACGAATACTTCAGAATTGATTTAACATAGATTTATTTATAGATTTATATTCTTACAAACATCACAGAGCTACCACTGTTTTTATGTTCCTTTATTCTAGGTGGAAAATTTCTCAGTGTCTTTTTCAGATGGAAGAGTGTTATGTTATTTGATTCATCATTATCACCCATGTCATGTGCCTTTGGACGCTGTGTGTAAACACACTACTCAAACGGTAGAATGTACCAGAAGTGGCACTCTTGGGCTGAATTCCTCTTCTGAGTCGGATGCTTCTTTAAATCTCATAAAGGGAACTTTTGATCAAAGTGAGTTCATTAAAAATAGAGCTGGCTTCAAAGCAGGTTGAAATTATGAGTTACTATTTCTGCTGTAATATGTTCCATTTTTCATGTTTCTGTTTACAAAGGTATAAGTACTTCTGTGCTGTATAAAGAACTCCTTGATAATGAGAAGAGAAATTTTCAACTGATCAATGCTGCAGTTTCTGATCTGGGAGGCATTCCAGCCATGATTCAGCATTCAGACATGTCTAATACAATTCCTGACGAGAAGGTAATCAGTCATGTCATTAAAATTCAAAGTTCTTTTATTTCCTCCCAGCATATAGTAAGTTTCTATTTGTATGGTTTTTTTTTTCTTTTTAGGTAGTCATTATTTATGTGTCATTTCTGTGTTCAAGACTTATAAGTCTTTCTAAAGAGATTCGAGCAGCTCAGTTGATTCAATCTGCTTGGAGAAAATACAGATTGAAAATACTTGCTGAGGTAATCCGTTGCTTTCTATTTTGCTCCTTATTGTCAACTCAGACTATTACTATTGGAAGGAAAGAGGATTGCTTATATTATTATTATTTTTTCAGACCAAGAAGCACAAATCTAATGCTGTAGTTGTACTTCAAAAGCACTGGAGAAGATATTTGGCTGCAATGGAGCTTCAGAAATTAAAAAAGGCAAAGCAAGAAGAATCCGAAAGAATTGCAATCCAGGTATAATTGACTTTGTATAAAACCACTTGATCAAAATGAATCCATTTCTACTTAAAATGGTTAAGTTATGTAGTTTTCATTCCTCAAGCCATTAGATTTCACGTTCAAGTCAAATAAAGGTTTCACTAATAGAACATTTGTTAGTCTTCGTGTTTTATAAAAAATAAAAGCCTGAACAAACAAATATATAATTTTGTTCTCTTCTTGTTATTCAGAGATGTGAAGAGGCTGCAGTTGTCCTTCAAAGTTGGTACAGGATGAAGAGAGAGAGGCAGCGGTTTTTAAAAATGTCTGGAGCTGCCTCTGTCATTCAAACACGCTATCGTGCACGTAGAGAACAAAGCTCTCAGAGACAGAGGTTTTTGCAAATCAAAAAGGCAACTTTACGCTTGCAAGCAAGCTGCAGGGGCTTTAAAGTACGAAGAATGCTAAGACACCAACACACGGCTGCTACTAAAATCCAAGCTGCGTACAGGGCTTATGCTGCCAGGATGAAGTATCGACGCTTGATACAAGCTTCCCTTGTGATTCAGAAATGGTTCAGGGCTTCTAAAAGTGGATCCAAAATGAGGAAAAGGTTTCAGAAGACCAAAGCGGCTGTGGTTTCCTTACAGGCAGTTTTCCGTGGTTGGCAAGTGAGAAAATGGCTCCGCAGGCAGCAGGCAGCTGCACTTACTATTCAATCTGCCTACAGAACGTATAAAGCTATGAAAAAATTCAGGCGGGTGAGATCTGCGGCTCTTACTATACAGCAGCATTATAGGGCTCACATCGCAAGTAGAAAACAGCAACGGGAATATCTGGTTCTTTACAATAGCATTGTATTATTCCAGGCGACTTGGAGAGGAACAGTGGTGAGGAGGCAAATGAAAAGACAGCGTCAGGCTGCGGTGACAATTCAGTCTTATTATAGGATGCATGTGAATCAAGCTAAGTTTAAACATTTCAGGGAAGCGGCAGTTACACTCCAGAGATGGTATCGTGCTGTTATTCAAGCCCGTAATGCACGACAAAGCTATCTTGCTTTAAAGGAAACAACTGTTAGAATGCAGGCCATTTATCGAGGTTCGAGAGAGAGGCGAAAAATCCAGCGCGTGAACCAAGCAGTTATTTGTATCCAAGCCGTGTTTAAAATGCATCGATGTAATGTTCAATATAGGGCTCTGAAGAGGTCAGCTACTATAATCCAAGCACGATACAGAGCTTTCTGCAGAGGACAGGAAGACCGGAAGAAATACCTGGCGCTTAGAAAGTCATCTGTCACCCTTCAAGCAGCCTACAGAGGCATGAAAATCAGACAGAAGTTAAGAAGGAGTCACCAGTCCGTACTAATCATTCAGTCATATTATCGAATGTTCAGAGAACGGAAAGCTTACTTAAAGCTGGTTGCAGCAACAAAAGTGATTCAGCGGTGGTATCGTGCTTCCAGAGATAGAAATGCTCAAATGTATAAATACAAAATGATGAAGATTTCTGCTCTCCAAATCCAGGCGGCTTTCCGGGGGATGAGAACTAGAGTCCTTTTGAAAAAGAGGCACATGGCTGCCACCCTCATTCAAAGGAATTTTAAAGCTTTTGCTCAGAGACGTAAATTTGTTTTTCTTAAATCAGCTGCTGTGACAATTCAGAGAAAGTATCGAGCAACAGTACTTTCAAAGCATCAGCGTGAGAAGTTCCTTACTTTACGTCAAGCAGTGATTGTAATCCAGTCTAGCATCAGAGGCCTGCTTGCTAGGAGATACGTAAAGCAAATGCATCTGGCTGCTGCAGCTATCCAGGCAACCTTTCGAATGCACATAGCCTCCACTCAATACAGAACAAGGAAGTCCGCTTGTCTCGTAATACAGCGCCATTACAGAGCGTACCAAGCAGCTAAGCAAACCCGAGATTTGTACTTAAAACAGCGTCACTCTGCTCTAATTCTCCAGGCTGCTTATAGAGGAATGAAAGTTAGGCATGTGTTAAGGAAGAGGCATGAAGCTGCAGTAGTCATACAAAGCAACTACAGGAAACTCAGGCAATGGAAGTCTTACAGAAATATTCAGTGGGCAGTCAGGCTCGTACAGGGAAGGGTCAGAGCCAACCGGGAGAGCAAAATGGCAGCCCAGCGATATTCTTCCATTCAGAAAGCTGCCATCTGCATTCAGAAAGCTTTTCGCAGGATGAAGGCGAGAAACCAAAGAAGGCAGGAGGCTGCTATCTTGCTTCAGCGGAATTTTAAAATGCAAAGAGCACGTAAAGATTACCTTGCCTTAAAAGCGGCTGCCATATCTCTCCAGAGAAAGTACCGAGCATTGATTGTGATGAGAAGACAAGCTAAAGAATATGCTTCTGTTCGAGCAAAAATTATCTGTGTGCAGTCTTTCTATAGAGGCTTTAAAGTACGGAAAGAAGTCAAGCGCCAGCATTCAGCAGCAACACTCATTCAGGCAACCTTTAGAATGCATAAAGTTAAACTAGCTTATCGGAAACTCAGATACGCTGCTATTACCATGCAGAGGTTCTATCGATCACATTTACAGGAGAAACATCAAAAGGCACATCAGGCCATTCCGAAATCTGTAATAAGTCAGGTGACTCGCAGAGGAACAAAAATACAGCCGGAATTGGACCCCATGCATATTTCGGCAACCGTCATCCAGTCTCTTTATCTGATGTATGTACAGCAAAAGCATTACGAATTGATATGCCGGGCTGTGATAACTATTCAGTCTGCCTATCGAGGAATGATAGCACGCAAAGAAACAAAGAGAATGCGTGCAGCAAGAAACGGGCAGTTGTGCCATATGGCTGTGAATGATCGAATTGAAGCTGTTGAATCAAAGACTCAGTGCCACTCAAATGAAGCCAGAGAGCAACGCCAGAAATATTGGAAAGCTGCAGTTTTAATACAACAACATTACCGATCTTACCTGACTGTGAAACATCAATCAGTGGTTTATTTTCAAACACATAAGAGAATAATTCTTTTGCAAGCTACAGTAAGAGGTTTCATTGAACGACAGAGGTTTGCCAGAATAAAAAGAAGTACAATAAAAATACAGGTATTTAAAAATTCTGTTTTCTCCAGCTTTAATTATTTTCAGTGACAATAGAGTAAGCTTGAATAAAATATTCTTTGATAGAATTTAACTACAAATTAAAAATCAAAATTATGGAAGTCCACTATCTTTAAGATATGGAATATCCTCTTATACTGTCCCTCACCCATGTTAGGGTGGTGCGTTCATAATTTCATACTATGAGGCCATGAGCTGAAGTTTCATTCATATCCCTTTAAAAACAGAGCTGGTATCGAGGAAACCGGCAGAGGATGAAATTCCTGCAATATCGTGAGAAAATTATTATAATACAAAGAATGGTGAGAAGATGGATTAGCCACAGAAATATAAATACAGGTGGAATTCCAAAAGACGTAAACCCCCAAATTGTTAGCATTGGAGTAACTAAATTTCAAGTAAGTAAACTTCCTGGAAAAAAAATGATACTGTTTAGGAATGTGCATAAAAGACAAACAAATTTGATTTCAAACCCAAATATTTTCTTTGGGATTTTTTTTTCTTGGGCATGGAGTGATCCAGATAAAAGAAATCAGAGCAGCTTGTAACGATGCTTCGGTTGTTCATAACTGGATAAGAGGGGAAATGTGGCTTCTATTTGATCATTTGATGAAACCTGGCTGGGTATTTGGGAGGGAGGTTCCCCTCTCGGAAGTGCAGCCCCCCCAACTTTAGGTGTACCATCTGAAACTTAAATATTCTGGTCTTGTTGGACTTGAGAAGGGTATCGTTTCTATAACGGCTCCTCCCTTCTGAGGTCTACCAGACCCCCCTCCCCTTCTATCGTCCCAGAGAGTACTTAAAGCCTGGGTCTTCCTCCGGGCAATGGGACAGGGCAAGCCCAGGTTGGGATGAGAATGTCTGTCTGCTTAAAAGAAATGTGGCTGAGGTATAAGGTTTTCCTCTTTTTATTGTTGTTGGTTTTTATAATTTTTTTATTGCTTTATTGTTTGTAAGCTATATAGTTTTAAGATGGGCAGCTATATGAATATTTTAAAAGAATAAAAAAGTAGCCGAATGATGTATTTGTTCTGTTTCAGATCAACTGACTAAAAAGTGCAAACACAATCTATTCTGTGAACTAGATCTAAAATCTTGAATATTGCTCAATGGTTATCTGGAAATGTTTTATGAATGGCTCGTTATCTAAAACTTTCCATTTGCAAATTTTCATCAAGTGACTTTCAGAAAATATTTTGTTTGGAGAAAAACAATTAACTGAAAAAAAAAATAGTAAAATTTATTTTTTAAAAATAAAGGTATATTCTAGGAAATTTCTGCCTCTTCTTTTAAACATGTAACTTTTCCTTTCTCCCCTTATAAGGCACTGTGGAGAGGATATTCTTGGAGGAAGAAGACTGATACTCCAGAAACCAGATCTCTGCGAGACAGTTTGATCGTTGCCAATAAAGAAAGCAAAGAAGAGAAGAAGCTGTATAACAGAACTGCAGTTGCCATTGATTACCTTCTTAAATATAAACATTTTTCTTATATTCTGGCAGCTCTGAAGGATCTGGGTTAGTAATTTGATTCAAAGGCAGTCTTTATTTTTAAATATTAGCATACAGACATTCTTCTATGTACAAAGTAAAACACAGACGAAACTAAGTAAAAACTAGGTACTTTGGCCTTTAGAAACATTGGTGTCTAAAATGAAAGAAAATCAGAGAGAGAGAGAGGCCAAAATTAATATAGGTCTGAAAGGAATATTTCACTGCTGGGTTTTGCTCCCATAGTGAATTGCTCTGCATGGTGCAGTTTCATGCATACGTGTGGAAGAGAAGGAATGTGATGTCTTGATAACTTACTTTGCCCTCTTGGTTCTTTCCTGAATATCTTCCACATGTAAAGCTGAAATTTCTGCCGCCGAGAGGTCCTCCCAGGCCATAGAAACCTGGAGTTTAAATAATGGTATGATTAGCACTGTAGAGTGTAGTAACTTTAAATTCTAAATTACGTTACCTTTGAATTTTGTGAGCTCAGCCTAAGCTGCAATAAATATAATACAGGACTAGATCAAGAGTTGACACATGCAATCAGTTCTGGGGTTTCAATTGTATGAGAAATGGATTGGTCGCTGGATTTATATTTCTACAATATAGTTAGGTATTAATTTGAAAAGTTGTTAATATTTTACCTGTCTTTCTTTTCCCAGAGGTTGTTACAAGATTGTCTCCTGTTTGCTGTGAAAATATGGCCCAAAGTAGAGCAGTCGGCACTATTTTTACTCTGATACGGAGCTGCAACAGGAGCCTCCCTAGTATGGATGTTATTAAATATTCTGTCCAAGTCTTGCTTAATTTATCAAAGGTATTCATTTATCTTTATGTTTGCTGAAATTAAGCTTTTTTTTTTGTAAGTTTGTATTCTAAAGGGACACGGTGGCTCAGTGGCTAAGATGCTGAGCTTGTTAATCAGAAAGGTCAGCAGTTCAGTGGTTCAAATCCCTAGCGCCGCGTAACGGAGTGAGCTCCCGTGACTTGTCCCAGCTTCTGCCAACCTAGCAGCTCGAAAGCATGTAAAAATGCAAGTAGAGAAATAGGGACCACCTTTGGTGGGAAGGTAGCAGCGTTCTGACTACATGACCACAGAGACGTCTTCGGACAGCGCTGGCTGTTCGGCTTTGAAACAGAGATGAGCATTGCCCCCTAGAGTCGGGAACAACTAACACATATGTGTGAGGGGAATCTTTACCTTTATTATAAAGTTTACAACTGTTATTATTTTCTCATTTATAATATGTGCCAGAATTTAAATTTCAGGTTATATTGCAAATGAGAGCTAAACTCATTTACACTATTGAAGCTTATTTCAAGTCTAATTTAACACAGTTCTAAACTGCGGGGCCAAATAATTCATTTTGTGGAAAGTCCCAGTGATACTGGTTTAAGAAAAAAGAAAATTCAGTCTAAAACTGATTAGCATTTGATGTAATATGCTAGGATTAAAATTGCAAAAAAAAAAAATAATACTCATTGTTCTTGTAGCTTGTATCAGTCTGCCAAATAGTCAAAAAGTACTTGAACAAAATACTTTTATGACAAAAAATTAGGAAAAGTATATTTTAAATTAAGGTCTAAGCATGTTACTTAGTCCCATATAGCTAGTGGAACTGCTTATCAAATAATTTGTGATAATGTACCTTTAGTGAGTTTTGGTTGAATTTAGTATTATATTTGGAAAAAAATACAGTGCAGATGATGAAAAAGTACCATCTAAAAGGACTGTTGCGGTTCCCTATTATACTGTCAAGATAAGGTTGGAAAAACTATTTTGAGAGAAAGCCCTGTTTAAGCATTAGAAAAGAAATGGAATTTCATTAAGCCATAAAAAAAATCTTCAGGTTAATTTTCAAAACATTTAAGTAGTAAGACATGTATATGTCCTAGAGGTCGGGGAGGACAAGATCTTATTTTTGCTAGTAAAAGAAGACACCTGCCCCCTCAATTCATAAGATAATATATTAAGATAGTCATTGTCCTGCCTATGTTAGTTTATTCTGCTTATATTTTTCACACTTACTAATAAACAGTCAGGAATGAGTGTATTTGTGCCTATGTATCGATGCTGTAAATCACTGAGTTGTCATTCTACAGTTTCAATAATGATTTCACAAATGATGAACAATCCTTTTTGAGACTTAACTTACAACTCTTCTCATCTGTTTAGTATGAAAGGACGACTGATGCTGTTTATTCAGTGGAAAATTCAGTCGAAACATTGTTGGATCTACTTCAGATTTACCGGGAAAGGCCTGGGGATAAAACTTCAGAAAAAAGTGGTAGCATTTTCACCAAGACCTGCTGCTTATTTGCTCATCTCTCGAAGGACTCAAGAAGAGCTTCTGTACGTTTTCTGTGTTGCCAAAGTATATATTCAAATATAAAGATATTCAAAAATTGCAAATTCTTTTCCTTGTTTGGACTTGCATGCCAAAAAATAGCTAGAACTAGCCTTCGGGTTCAGGTACCGAAAGTAGTACTTAAGAGGTAGTTGCTGGAGATTTTTCAAAACAGACATTCTAAAATAACAGTATTTTAGAACTGAATAGTCAGCAAACAGTCCTACTCGCTCTCCCACGGTGAAATTGGCTGTTTTAAACTAAAATGTTTTTTTCTGAGTGGGCAAAGTAACCTAAGACGTTCACTACGTTGTTGTTATTTCACGTATATCTGTCCAACTGATACTTGCTTATATATCATGGTTTTATATAGGGTGCTGCTGATTCTTCTTAAGTACAACTAATCCTCATTTAGCAACCACAATTGGGACTGACAACTTGGTTACTAAAGAAAGCAGTTGTTAAGTGAAACCATGACTGCTGATGATTTTACTCCAGTTTTCCTTTGCTTTCAGACCTGTGAAGGTTGTGAATGTGAGGAGGGCTGGTTGCAAAGCTATTTTTTTTTTTATCATTTCATTGACTAACTGTTCAGGCATAAAATGAGGCAGTCACTAAATTAGGACTAGCATATAGTTAAAAGCAAATCCTGGATATTAGACTTTAACAATGGGATTTGCTTCTCTTAGCTATGCTGACAAATTTTAAATGTGCTAATAAGGGAGAGAGGAAGTTGCTTCTTGGGGGGGGGGCACTATGAAACTTTGCCACAGCCAACTCACTGCAAGGTAACTTGCCACAGGACAACTTGGTGTGGGACAAGACTTACACTAATATCAAAGAAATGTTGGAGTAAAATCATTTTAAAAAGGATGGAAAAGGAGGGACAGAATGAAATGTGAATGGCAAAAATTAAAATATTTTTATTTATTTTAAATAATTAAATAGAATTGTTAAATTGTCCTGCAGCAAGTTGGTCGTGGTGAATTGACTGTAGTAAGTTGGCTGTGGCAAGTTGTCCCTTTCCCTCTTTGGGGGATTATAGTTGAACGTAGACAATTTCTACTGATCTTTGCCTTTCAGTATATAGATTACAAATCAGGTTGACTGGATCCTACAACATTTAATAGTCTTTAAAAGTGGAACTTAGTTAAAACTATTCACAAATGGTAGACTATACTACTTTATCGGATATTCTTTGAAAAATAACTAGCTCTCCTTGTTCTATACAATTCTGTGTTTTAACAAAATATGTCTTATTTTGAATTTGTCCTTTTCTGTAGAGAATCTTGAACTTTGTATAATATAGCTTGAGACTAGCTTTAAAATGATGTACTTGGTATAAATGAGGCATACTGAAATTTGATTTTCAAAGAGGTTTCATTGAACAAAATACTATAATTTAACAACACTGGTTTATTTCTTAGGAGATTCTAAACAATCATAAAACAGTTGCTGGCCTTCGAAGTTTATTTAAACTTACAGCCCGTAAACATCAAATGGATGTCCAACGGATGCGGGCCAAACAAAAAAAAGTTGCATACATGAATGGACAGAGTTCCGTTCCGCTAAAAACAAAAATAGTTACAAGGTAAGTCTAAATTATTGTAACTTTAAATTTTCTATTTCAAATCATACTTTTACTCTTATGGATTTTTTTTTCCCCATCCTTAGGCAGAGGCCGGATTGGGATTTAAGGAAAGATAACATCAAAGAGATTGTTGATCCATTGCAAGCCATTGAGATGGTAGTAAACACACTTGGAATTTCCTGCAATTGAAACACGAAAGAGTTTATAATTATGACATTTTCAGAAAGAAATGGACTGGACTTCTTTTATCAATATACATATTATGCATTTGTTTTATAAAGCTTGTTTACCTGAGTCTGAACTCCTGTCATTTAAAATAAACTTCTTACTGATATTTATCTGCAAATGATAAAAATCTCAAATATTACTTTTATATAATTTAGAGCTAAGAAAAGTATATACTTCGTACAATATAATGAAATTGTTATTTTATAGAATAAAACTGAAAAACTAAGCTTGTTAGTTAAGGTATATTTCTTTTGCTTTAGAAAGACATTTGAAACAAATACTAACAGCTTAATAGCATAAAATAAGCTTGTAAAACTCGTTTAAGGCTGAGGGTTTGTCTGTGGGAAATGTTATTCTAAAGAACTGAACAGGATTATTGAAAGACAATACCAGAAAAAAATAATTACAGCTCTGATAGGATTACTTCCCCCAAAATATTAAATATTTCCTTGCAACACATTAAAAATAATATTTTTTTACATTTTGTTTTTAATAAAATTATTTTCTGGTTTACAAATGGAAAGTAGCTTTTCTTACTCGTAGAATTCTTACAGTTTTGCTTTATCACTACGAACCCTAAATTTTCCTATTTGTTACTTCGTGATAAGTTCTTTCACAAGATATGCCTACATGGAAACATCAAATTTATGAAAAAAAGATTGGTAATTGCAAGACTCTTCATATTCAGTTCATGCCACACTCTTCAATTACAAGTTTTATTGTCATCTTTTGTATGTTCTTCCACTGATGTATTTGAGCCTACATGTGCCTTTTTCTATGGCTGGACCCATATTGTGGACCAATCTGGAGTTTAAGTAAGACTCAGTATTTTAATACACAATACTAATAACCATGATAATGTTTAAGTGTACATAATTCAACATACTGTACATCCACATACTGATTTTGCATTATGTTGGAATACGCATAATATTTCCCCCATTTCTAATTTCTACCTCTATTCTAATTCTTGATAGCACAAGTCTTATATTAATAGATACTCTATTTCTATCCATCATCTCTTGTCCATTATAGTATTTAAATTCTAGTAGTTTTTTGGCATGTTTTCCATACTTCTCCCTTGGAATTTTGTATCTTTGTGCATCATTCATATTTGGTCTAAATGAAACACCTTTTAACAGATCACTTGAGAGACCGCCTGCTGCCAATTACCTCCCATAGACCCATTAGATCTCACAGGGTCAGCCTCCTCCGGGTTCCGTCTACCAGCCAATGCCACCTGGCTATTACCCGGGGGAGGGCCTTCTCTGTGGCGGCTCCGGCCCTCTGGAATGAACTCCCCGCAGGGATCCGGACCCTCACCTCTCTCCAGGCCTTCTGAAAAGCTGGCTTTGCCGGCAGGCCTGGGGGTGATGAGTTCCCTTCCCCTCTCGACATGTATGGTTGTGCGACTGTTGTCTACTTTTATTATTTGTATTTTGTCTTTTATGTTCCCCCTTTTTTTCCCCTTGAATTGTTCGCCGCCCTGAGTCCTCCCAGAGAAGGGCGGCATACAAATAATAAAATACCAATACCACATAAACATTGCAGATTTTTTTCACATTTGAATCTGGTGAGTGCTAAATTATGAATTAGTAATTAAATATTTTCCCACCCTTTTAATGTTATACTTGTTGAACTTGGAATGATTTATTATGAAATATCCTAAATGAGTTAACTGCCTTCCTACAACTTAGATGTAGATATAAAAATTATATTTGAGTAATAAAGTTTCATAGTGAAAAGTAGAACAGTTTTTACCTGTCAGACTTCATGTAGCTGGCAAGGCCAAAGAAGTAAATGATAATGGATCTCAATAAAGTATTTTATGCCAGTCTAGGAATAAGTACAGGAGAAACTATAATATGAATTTCCCAGCTTGATTAAAATGAGTTAAGATGAAATCTGAGGCATTTTTTATTGAATCTGCGGCCTCAGAGAGTCACTGGACTGAGTAGCTTTTTAAGAAATAATCTTTCAACTTCTGAAACCTCCCAGTCTGTCGTGCTCTCCTATCAATTATTAACTGAACTGCCTTCAGAAATGGAGTAAACTAGCAAAAGTGGGATAATACAAGCTTCCCAGGAAAGCACTGAAGATGGAGTATAAAAGGTGGATGTTTTCATTTCTATTAATGTTTGCTGCAATAAAGAAGCTTCTTGCTGAAGGTAAAAATTAAATATATGTTGTGGTTAAAATTCATACTTTTTCAACAATTGTAAGGCAGTTGATACTGATATCCTAGGTTCAAAAATGATGCATGTAACATCTTCTGATTACGTTTTTATTTTTAAGAATATATGTAAAAAGGTATGATTGCCTGCATCCTGAAAGGCTGAAAGTTGTGCTAGAAATCAAAAGATATTGGATAGCAATTTAATCTTAACCAGGTTTTGTGTGTTTGTGTGAGGGAAACAGTAAAAAGAAAATCATGTTTATCGGGATATAACTATAGAATAAGCCTCATATTACGAACATGCATTGTAATTGCTTTGTTTGTAAGATTTTTTTAAAAATGACTGGTATTTATTCTAACATCCTTTTAACAACACTTTCCAGAATTTTTAGATTGTATAAAGTGAGCGAACCTACATATGTAGGAGGGTTTTGTCAAAATTTGAGTTGTGAAGTAGAAGCGATGTATTCAACTGGATTCTTCTGAGCATAGTCACATATTTTAAAGACATGAGTTCCAGTCTTTTTTTCCTCCCATTTCTTCCTACTTGAACATTAATACATTTCTTCTAGACAAAGCTTGTGACTTCCCTAATATAGAAAATGGAAGGATTGCACTGTATTATTACAGTTTTAAAAATTATTATTTCCCAATGAAGAAAGGCGAAAAGCTCTCCTACACCTGCTTGGCCGGGTATTCAGCTGAAAGCGGAAGTCAGAATGGACGGGTGAACTGCACTAATGAAGGCTGGATACCAGTCCCCAAATGTCATAGTAAGTCCACGTCCTTTCCTTCCTCATCTGGTTAGAAAGGAAGCAGAGCGTTCTTCATATCATAGGAAAATGTGAGCGTTATATATAAAATATCACTAGAGTGAGCAATCTGTGTATGCGATTTGATAGTTAAGTAATTGACAGAAAAGGTCCGGGCTGCTGCCGTGTGTCTCTGGGACGCTGCAACTGATTGCAAATGTGAGCTAGTTGCCCAGCACCTGAAATGTGATCAGATGATCGGCTGGGTAGGTGTGGCAGGATGGGTCGTAAGTACCTTTTGGGGAAGTTGTAACTTTGAATAGTTGTTAAGTATCCAGTAATTAAGCAAGGATTATCTGTAGATTTCTCAAGCTATTAACATGGCTTCTTGAATTTGGTTAAGTAACTATGGGTCCTTTCTGTGATACCATTCTTACCATGTAGGAGTTTAACTTTTATGAACAAAGAAAAAAATATAACATTTTTCTCATCTTTTTTTTTTAAACACACTGAAGAGAAATGCGTCCAACCTACTTTGGATAATGGTATTTTTTCTGATACAAAATTGTCTTACAACATCTGGGAAAACTTAAGATATAGCTGCCATTCAGGCTACCAGACTGCAGAAGGCGAGGTGGATGCAAATATACAGTGTCTTCAAGATGGATGGTCGGTTCAGCCACAGTGCATGGAAGCCATTAAAGAACCTTTAGGTAATGCTAAACAACCCATAAGCCATCGGGGCATGGATTCAAAGACATTTCATTAAGAAAATCTGAATGACCACAGGTGGATTAAAAAAAACACAAGTGAGACTGGAAAAGTCTTCCAGCTTCATGTTGCCTTCCCCATTGAGTTTCCTTGTGGGAAGCTGGCAATAAGCCCTGGAAACCCTCCCTCCCCCCACTTTCCACTTTTATCACCTGAAAGTTGCAGATCTTTTCATCCTTTAATACCCATCTTTCCCAAGATAATTTTTTGTGTGTGCAAAGATTGAGGATGCAGTTCTGGCCAGGCTTGGAGCTCTTTGCGCAGAACCCACCAAATAACCCAAGAGACCAATAGAATTAAATCTCACCTTTAATTGATCAGATGGAGTCAATCAATCTGGAAAAAAAGGTGTTTTGAGTTATTTTGACGATGCTATTCCTGTCTTAATTTTTCATTAACTCGTTGCTTTCACTTTTAGGCTTCTCTTGAGGTAACCTAAAGTGTCTGTGGATTAAAAATATCAACAACAACAAATATAATGATGTCCACATCTTTTATTGTTTTTGCACAACCTATTTTCCGTCTTCCCTTTTTTCAATGCCTGTTTGGTTTTCCTGCCTTTTGATTTCAGGGACTTGCTTAGCTCCAGATCTGCTGCATGGTCAGTATCATACAGTGCGGAGAGTGTTCAATGTGAATGACAAGCTCAAATATGAATGCAGGGATGGCCACGTCACAGCTGGAGGAGACGCCATAGAAGAAGTGCTATGTCATATTCAAGGCTGGTCTCTTGTCCCCAAATGTACCAGTAAGTTATTTACATGACTTTGCTTTAGGCCAAAAATAACATTCCTAACTAGGTGGCAACTGTCAACACTGAAACATAGGTCACTTATTCATGCTTGGCCTTGCTTTTTAGAATTAGCGTGTTCTTCTCCAAATCCTGTTGAACATGGAAAAGTCCACCCCAAGCAAAGTAGTTATGAAGAAGGAGACGTAATTCAGATTATCTGTTTGGAAGGTTATACTTTAAGAGGACCCGAGTTAATTCAGTGTTACTACTTCGGCTGGTATCCAGAATTTCCAATATGTGAAGGTACTTCTTTTATACTATTAATAGATCCCTATAACTTTGTTTGGTAAATTTGTGTCATTGCCCATCTCACAAACATGGCTCTGGCACACAAAGCAAGAAAAAACTTTCAAAAAACTGAAAATCATTTAGAAATCCATCTGCAAGACAGTTCACTCAATTTCCCTAGCAAACGAGCCACTTTGCAGGCACCATGCCCATTGTACATTACTGGATCACCGCAGCCAGATGGTAATGCCATGTTTTCAGGCCCGTCAGTAAAGTCAGCCAGGGCAGGGCCAATCTTGGGGGAAATTATCCTTTACAGGGTCGGTGCTACAAGAGAAAAGGCTCTCCTACTGGGTCCCATCAGATGAACTTCCTTTGTGGAGAGGACCTGCAACATGCCTTTCTTGCCAGACCTGATGGGGTGAATAGACGTGATTGCGGAGAGGCAGTCCCTCAAATAACCCAATCCCATGCCACATATAAAGTTCAAACAGGCAAGTGCACTCCTCATAGGATGTCCTATTAAATCTGCCTTCCCACAGAGCAGATCACGTTTGAGATAAATCAGGCAGAAAGATACCTGACTGGCTTCAGAGATTGGATTCAGAGACTCCGGGATTTACATGGTAGGTCATTTTGCCATCACCAGTCAGGACTTGCTGCTCAAGAGGCTTCGCCC